AACTTTCCTTTTTTGAAATGAGTATATCATATTGTTCCTCCTCAACTAGTCTATCATCTCTTTCTACATTTGTAGAAGAAACATGTATTTGATGATCTCATTTTTCTTCTTCTAAATTTTTTTTCAAACTTGTGTTTTCTACTTCTTCTCTTTGTCTTTGTGTATTGATTCTCCTTTTATAATTTTTTTTTGTAGGAGTTGTTCGTTTTTTCCTTGAAGTTATGATTTAAAATAGTAAAATCAAAATGTAATAATACAAAAATATATTTATTATCCATTTGATAATTTTGAAAGTTAATTCAAAACCACATTTAGAAATAAGGTAAAGGATAATAAATGTAACAATTGTAGCTTTTCAAAATTATATTATAGCAATTGATGTAATAATCACATCACTTGTTGTAATAATCACAACACTTGCTACAATAATAGTAATACTTGTTGTATTAATCACAACATTTACTGTAAATATAGGCATCGCCTTTCTATGAACTCTTTCTATGATATTATTAAGTAAAAAAAATGTAAACAATAGAAATTTTCAGTGCAAACATATATGTTGATGAGCAGACATGCAACGAGTAACATTTTTGAAGAGTTGATACAACAAAGATCTTGATGAACATTTTCGTGTGTTTAAACAATTCTAATATAGTTAACATATTATGTAAAGTATCCAACGAAGTAAGGAAAAAAGGGAAATAGTTGAAATCTTTCAAGTAAAAAAGAAAGAGTATACTTATGTTAAACAAATGTCAAAATCTATTAGAGTTGCTAAATTGATGTGATTACCGAAATTCTATCTGTCTTCTCTTCAAACTCCTTTTTATTCCTAAAAACTGTAACAAGGATCGTCATTCGACTCCGTGGATGGTCCAATCAACTTTCAGTCCTCTGTCATGAATGACAGTCGACCAGTATGGAACATCAGTCGAATTACAGTCCGTCAGTCGACTCTGTCGATGGGCAAGTCAATTTTTAGTCCTCAGCCGTGAATGACGGTCGACCAGTATAGACTGTCAGTCGACTCCATTGGTGACTTTGATAGTAGATAATTTAGGGGTCTTTTGGTCTTTTTCTATTTTATTGGACTCCTAAGCTACGTTGTTTAGACTCTAAATCATGAGGTTTTATTCAGTTAAAGTCTAGCAACATAACTAGAACTTATCTAAGTCAAATCATTAATCAAAACATAGAAAATTAGAAGCACGAGAGGAGAAAAAGGTCAAGAACCCAAGTCAAGAACGCAACAAGTTTCTATCAATTCCAGTCCCAAAATTGAAAGATTCTCCGTGGAATTCGTCCCCAAGTATGTGGGATTTAATTAGTGGGTTTTTTTCCCCATTAGATCCCTAAAATTTAGTCAGTTTCTTGATTTCCTTATTATGAATAGACCCAGGGTTTCTAGAATTATAACAGATCATCATGAATTAGTTAATTATATATTCCAAATCAGATTATCATGTTACTAGTAAGTTTATTGCATGAATTTCAGAACCCTTATTGTGTATTTCTTTAGTTATTGAATTACACATGTTAGGTCAAATATATCAGTCATTCAGTTATACATGCCTTAGTTATTAATGTATCATTATCACATTAGTTGTTGCATTTTAAGTTTGCATGTTTAGTTTTGAGCTATCCAATATTATAGAAACTTAGTCATAATGTGTTAGTCACTTAATTCATTTGGAGTAGCATAATACCGAGTTTGACTAGGATTCAGTGTACACAAATAGCTCCAGAATGACTAGCCAAGTATGTTGTAAGTCCCCTATGTGGTCATCAGTTTAGTGATCACGCCAGCATGCCTTTATATCTTTGGAAGGATATATTGGGTCCTTTTGATGGGGAGTATACATCGGCCTTCATATTTAACTCATGTGGTTTTATTATTTGTTATTAGTAGCTCCCACAGTTCAACCGTACTCTATTGCATTGACCAATTTACATTTCAGTCAGTGTTTAGTCTCAACATGTTATAAATTTGGTCAATGTATCCAGTTTGCTCAGCATTCAGTTTATCATGTTTACAATATTACACTTACTTTTGTGCTTGTACAACAACTTTATTCTATCCTACATGCTCAGTACCTTTCAAGTACTGATGCATACGTGCACTACATCTTCTCATGATGTAGGTTCAGGTTCTCAGCATTCAGATCAAGTTTAGATAGATTTTCGATCTCAAGTTCAGCAGAATCACTGGTTAGTCCTCATTCTCCGAGGTCAATAGTCATGAATTTCAGTTTTTCTAGACTTAGTTGGGACTGTCCCACCAGCTCTAGTCAGTGAGACGCTATTTTTCAGACATAGTTAGTTTCAACTTAGTATTGAGTTAATATATCCTTTGTATTAAACTCATCAGTTTTCATATATTTTTGTTATAGCATATAGGTATTACCCATTGTTTCATTTTATTTATGATTTAGATTCTGCATTAATTTATTATCTTTAGTGTGCTCATAATCATGCCAATGGGGTTATCTTAGGATCACTTGTGATCCAAGGTCCCGTGTTCGCGTCTCGGAGGTAGCTCGGGCGTGACAAACTTGGTATGAAAACACTAGGTTTAAGTGTACTAGGATGTTTGAAAATCCGCACTAAGTAGGTCCCTTTCGTGGGTGTGAAGTGCACCACATCTAATGAGAAGGAGGCTACAAGGTGTTAATTAAAACTTTCATTTTCTTGTTACTCTTATCGTTCGTAAGGTATGATCAAATTCCATTCTAACTCGACGTTTTACATTTTGGTGACCATGCCTTATCATAGAGCTAACGATAGGAATGCTAATGCTATGAACGCAAATGCAACTCCTCTAGTCCTAGATAAGGAAGTCTCCAATGCTGAATGTAGGAATCCCATTCAGATGTTGGCTCAGAGTGTCGCCAACCATAACAATCAGTGGGTTCAAGATCATCTGAATGCTAATGGTGGATCAACCGCATCTAGGGTCATGCTAGGATGAATCCGCCCGAGTTCTTAGGATCACAGACTAGTGAGGAGCCTCAAAATTTCTTGGATGATATCTAGAAGATCTTTGAGGTGATGCAGGTCAGTGGGAATGATCGGGTTTAGCTAGAATCTTACCAACTTAAGGATGTGGCTTATATCTGGTACACTCAGTGGAAGGAGAACATGGGTACAGATGCAACCCCTATTACTTGGAATGTTTTGGTGAGACTTTTCTGGACAATTTTTTCCCGACATAGTTGAGAGAAGTTAGGGACCATGGATTCATGAATTTAAGACAGGGTAACATGACAGTCTAATAGTATGTGCTCAAGTTTACCCAACTATCCAGGTATGCTCCTCATATGTTTGCTGACTCCAGATCTTAGATGAATAAGTTCTTGTATGGAGTGTAAAATTTGGTGAAAAATGGAGTGCAGAAATGCTATGTTACTAGGAGATGTGAACATTGCGAGGCTAATGACTCTTGCTCAGCAGGTTGAGGGTGATAAGCTTAGGGAACAATCCAAGGAGAATAAGAAGGCTAGTATCGGTAACTATGACTTTTCTCAGTAGAAATCAAATGGTGGAAATCGCTCACAGAGTCAGCAGAAGTTTTTACACCCATCCCTTCGCCATCTAGTGTTCCATCCTCCAAGAACAGGTATGATCAGAAGGTTAGGGCACCGGGCTCTAAGTCTCAGGTAAATGTTTCAAGCACCAAGACTTACCCACTTGGCCTAAGTGTGGTAAGAACCATTCGTGTGAGTGCCTTGGAGGAAAGGAAAGATGTTTTTGATGCAGTCAGTTTTGTCACAGGTTGAATGATTGTCCTTATAGACATGGTCAATGAGGCAGTAATGATAGAGCTCAGTCTACAATGTCAGCGACACTAGCAGGCCGCCTGACTCAGCAGGGTAAATCATCTGGTATAGGTTGCGGTCAACACTAGAACAGGTTGTATGCTCTTCAAGCTCGCCAGGATTAAGAAGGTTCTCCTAATGTAGTCACTGGTATATTAAGAGTCTTTGATCTTGATGTAATGCATTGTTAGATCCAGGGGCTACTCTCTCCTTTGTAACTCCTTATATAGAATTCCAATTGAGTATTAGTCCAGAAACACTCTCAGAATTCTTCTTAGTCTCTACTCCAGTCAGCGACCCAGTTACACCTAGATGGGTATATAGAAATTGCCCTGTCACAGTCTCTCAGAATGTCACCTTAAAATATCTTGTAGAGTTAAAAGTGGTAGACCTTGATGTCATTGTAGGCATGAATTGGTTACATTCTTGTTAGGCCTCAGTTGATTGTAGAACTAGGATTGTTCGTTTTTAGTTTCCAAACAAACCAATCTTAGAATGGAAGGGTAGTAGCTTAACGCATATGGGTCGATTCATTTCTTACCTTAAGGCCAGAAAGATGATCTCGAAGAGTTGTCTCTATCATCTAGTTGGGGTTAAGGATTGTAGATCCAAAACCCTAACTCTTGAGTCAATTCTTGTAATTCGACTGATGGTCCGTAGTTGGCTTTGTCGTTGGCACCTGCAAATTCTGAAAATCTGCATTTTTCATTTGTTTTGGATACTGGGTGTTACATTATCTCCCCCTTGGGACCATTAATCCTTGAATGAAGTCTAAAATAGCTGAGTACAGAGGGAAGGAGCTGTAATCCCTACTACTAACCACTGAGAACTGAATTGACCTTAGTTCTAAGAATATGCAAATACGCTGAAAAAACAAGTACAAACTTGTGTTTTCTTTTGCATGCCCATTCTAGAGAGCACTGGTCGTATGCGATCAACAACTATTTATTTAAGTTTCATGTATATAAAATATTCCCCATCCAATACAGGTTGAGAATCAATGGAACTAGATGGTGAAATTTCCAGGTCTTTTGGTTCGAGAGATCTATTTTCTACTCTCTCGTTATTTGCAAATGAATTTTTGATTACAATGGAATTGGATGGCTTATTTTTCAAAGATCGTGGTTTAAAAGATCTATTTTCTTTTATCTTGCTATTTGCATGTGAATTTTGGACTATACTTCTCTAGAGTGCTGGATAATGTGGTGGGATACTCGGAGCATATGCAAGAGATGAGAGTTGTGAGATAAATTTACTAGATTGAGTATGATCTAGTTCAAACCAGAAATCATACTGCTTAACATAGTTATCCTTAATTACTGGTCTAACATTATTCTGGCACTGGTACACAATGTAGACAGATACGTCCATTCTGAAGGGCGAGGACCATATTTCGGGCAGTGGTACATAGGGTCTCATTCCGAAGGGACGGGAACAATGATTTGGAGGGCTCATTCCATTATCATAACCTCCTAGAGTGAATACATTAACCTCATTCAAAAAGGCATTCCAATGCAAAACTCTATCACCAAATTCCTTGAAGCACACATCCACATAGGCAGTGAAGTCATCGCTAAAAGGAAAAACAACAACAATCATGTTAAATCATTCCAAATGTGTAGCAAAACATGAAATAAACTAAAAGTACTCTGCATCACACATTATCTTTTGACTCATCCATCTGCATATTTGTCTTCAAGTACTTGTGGCAGATCACTGTGACATAGAGTAACATGTGGTTGAATTCCTATAAATAAAGAAAAAATAAAAACGCAACAGAAGTCAACAAGATAATCGATAGATCATTTCTCAACTCAAGAAAAATTAGAACTAGTGCATATGGAAATGTGATCTTTACCATGACAGACAATCTCATCAATGAGATTATTGTAATACTGCAATCCCTTGGGATTAACAGGGCCTTTTCCATCTACATTGAAAGAAAAAATCAAGCATAGGAAAGAATAGTAAAGCATACAACAACATTATATGTACTAAGTAGCTGAACAAAAGAGCTTACCAGGATTAAGTCTCAACCACTAAATGGAAAATCTATACCCTTCCAAATCTGCATAAGTCATGAGTTTTACATCTTCCTGCAATAGAAAATATTTTAAGGCAATCATATTAATCACCAATTATGAAAACTCGAAGTTAAATTAATGTTGTTTCCTCTTCCATACCTTGTATTTTATGATATGCCTCACACGATACATCTGCAGTAGCGCCTCCATGTCCACCTAATGAACATTTAGAGATGAAACTTGTATCATTTAGTATCAATTGCACTTCTATCATAATTATCTTCATAAATTTCCTTTTCTTTATTACAATCACAATCCCAAGTGATTAAAGAGAACAAATCAGCATCAACAAAAGTATCCCAAATGCTTTTAGTTCTTCCATCTTCAGAAGCTGCACATTCAACCTTTCATCAAAATGAAGCACGAGTAAAGTAATTACTATATACTGTATTTGCTACAAAATGTTTGTATATTCATATATACACACATATTAGCAGACTCAGACTTAGCTTAAAAGTTATGGATTCACGTGAGCTTTTGCACAAACTCTGCATATGTATTATGAAATTCACTAGATATAGAAAATTGTCTCTATTCTAGGTTTTGGAGGACAATTTCTCCTTCTATTCCAATTCAAAAAAATCCAAAATGGAAGCTATATTAAAACTAATTAAGGCAAAATAGAATCCATTTGTCTCGACAAGTTACACTAATTTTTTAAACTCCACATCGTTTGTTGTTGTCTCAGCCATCTAAATTGCCTGATGTATAGATATTTCAGGCTAATCAAACAAAAAGATCAATCATACATTCTTATATGACTTAAAAGTAAGCAAACAATGTAGACCTCCTTCTTCCATAAAAATCTCCAAATTTGGAACCATTACACAATCATAGACCTCGAAGCTATTGACAATGCAAGGGGGCAAAAAGTACACAATACATCATACAACTATTATCCAAGAAGATGAGAAAATAATTTTAATATTATGAATAACTTCTATTACTAAAAAAGAAATTATTAATTGAAGTCTAAATATAAATCCTCCTTATAGAGAGAAGACATGATGCAATGACATATTTAGTCAACAAAAGTGAGATAATTTTTACCAAGAGTGCGGCAAGCGACAAATTGATATGGTCTAGGGTTTCTTCAACTCCATTATTTAACCTGTTGGAATGGCGTGGAGCCATGATTTGTCATTTTTAAATGGAGGGAAATGAATAGTATCATACAATTGGAAAGGCATTAATGGAACAATAATTAACTAAAGCATATTTTAAGGGAAAGTCGAAATATATGAGAATTACCATTTGTTGGCTAAGAAAAGATGCACACATAATTATGGTCTAAAAAGTTTTAAATCTTTTACTTGCCGACGGTATTGATGAATCCAAACTTAGCCATAAATGACCATTAGTTAACGTGTAAATTCTCAAGAGCATGCATTTTCCCACTTTGCTCTCACGCTAACAAAAGGGCCAACTATGACAGTCTAAATGACAGTTAACGACTAGTTTTTTATGTTGATTTTCTCAACCACCACAATCTACTCTTTTATGCTGAACATGAGACCAACTATGTGAGATAGCTTAGTAGAATTTCTCACAATCAATAGTTGGTAAAACGTATATTTCACTTTTAATCCTATCCCTTCTTAATACTAGTTACCAAGTTCATTCCAACTCCCTATGAGCTCATAGTCGCTAAGAGGAAGAAAAATGTATTCCATCATTTCCAGGGAAACCAAACTTAAGTGAAGTTAAGCCGAGTCTACAATGCACCTTTTCTACAGGGAAGAAAATCCATTGTTACTTGATGCTTGCAGGCTCGAAGATTTTTATTTCGCCTCTCCGGGGTACTTTTGATTCGTCGAGCGAGATCCCTTCCAAACGGGACTCCCGTATCACTATGCTCAAGTAAAAATTGAATTTTTGTATGATTATTATCAACATTTCCTCATTTTTCCCTTGTCATATATTAGCTGAATAAACAATATTTTTTCGTCTTGGACAATCCTCACTTAGTGAGTTAACTATTGGGAGTAGAGTATTATCCAAAATCAAAATTCCTTTCACTTTTATTTTTTTCCTCTCATATATGTGGAATTTGATATAATTTGGCTTTGTAATATTTCATTAATCTTTTTGTTCTTATCATCCACACACACAATCAAAGACTTCAACAATAGTTTAATAAGCTTGAACATCTCATGCTCTAATAGCAGATGAGTTACAACCAACAGATGTACTGGAGTGGATGAGATTGTTCCTAGCTTAACTATAAGTCTAAATTCTAATACCTATGCATGGAAAAATATTTGGTATTTAACGTTAGGGGAGTATGCAGGAGGTGGTCACTAGGTTCACGTGAAACCCATGCTTCCCTCTACAAATTATATATAGTAGTGTTGTATTCTTTTAAAATATTTATATATAGATGTATGAACCCACACTCAAAGTATCATATAATGCAATAATGATTGGAAATTTATATCTTATATCTATGTTGTTTATTTTTATTTTGTAAAATTGGATAACAAGTCTATAAGTGGTAATTAGTAGTATTTAGCTTTAATGCATTCAAAGTTTTCAAGTTTGTCGCATTGGAAATTCCTAATTTAATTAGCAGTGAAATATTTTGTATAATTTAACCAAATGCATATAATAAAACTAGCAGTACTGGATGGTATAACATACGATTAATGGGTTTAGTCAATCAATTTTAGTAATAAAAACCTAAATGTTGAACTAATTAATTTATATCTGAGATCCACATTTTTCGTAATAGTGCACCCATCATCTCAAAATTTTGGATACGACATAGCGCTATCCACGAATGGGCCCTACGAGGCACGAATCCATAATAGTCGGGTTCTAATGAAGAGCGAATACCACCTCTTTGAGATAAACAAACAATACAAACCTCTTTTTCCCCTCAAAATGTCTATAAGGTATTGTTAAACCTGTATTAAGTTTGGTAAAATTCGAGTCTACAGAAATCACTGTGTTTAATTAGGAAATTTAATCTCCTCACTGTACCCGAGGTTGCAGATTAATTTCTCCCTAGATAAAATGGATTAACCTGTTAAAGAAGTTTCAGTACCTCAAACTTCAATAACTTCAGCGAACATAAGAACATTAACAAGCATACACAGACTCAGCCAATCGACAATTTGTTTATGAGAGAAAATGTATGTAGATAGGAAAAATTTTCAGTGTTTGAGAAACAAAAAAGACTTCCTTTTTATAGTTATTTTTAGTAAGGAATATGTCTATTCAGACCTGTTTTTTCCAGAAAGTTGTGCCTTTTGAGAAAAATAACGACTTTTTCGGAAATATGTTTTTTTTCTGAGAAAATAACGACTTCTCAGAAATCAGATCATTATTACCGTTGCACGCAAATTTCAAATAAATTCCGTTGCGCCAAAATGAATTATGTGATTTAACTAACATTCTGATTTAATTTGTAAGAGAAAAGAAATTGACTAACATGATTTATTCGATTAACAAAAACATATTAAATAAATTTTGTCTAAAAAATTTATCAATCAATCACATCATTTACCAAATTCCAAACCGAAGCAGAATCTGAATCCAAAGATGAAGCCGACGCCGAGCGAGCAACGACGACAGCGCAAGTAGGCACCTTCTTCTTAAACCTTTAAGAAGTATAGGAATTTTTTTAATACAAGGACAACAATTTCCTTTCTTCTACCAATATGGGAGAAATGACTTTTCATTTTCTCTCCAAAATTGGTTCCCTCACTTTTCCATTTTTTTCTCTTTTCTTATTAGCACTTTGCTAAGCCTAATAATCCCCCACATTAATGAAGAATGCCTATTGTTAAAACATATGAATGAAAAACTTGTGTTTTTTTTAATGTAAGGGTTAATCACATCTGGATTAGTAAGTTTCCCTTTAAAATTGTTGTAGTGAACATATATCGGATATACTCGGTCAATCGATAGATTTGATATCTTTGAAGCGTCGATCTTTGGTGTATACCTAGAAACATAAGTCACACAATCAACCCTTGAAATGTTCTTAATTCTAATTAATTGATTCGTTTCAGCCATGAACACATCTCGGTTAGTAAATTCTTAGAGAACTGGCGTACTGGATTCTCCTTGAAGCGGCTTACACTTCACACTCACATATGTGGATTCTAAATGTGCTATCCCATAGATACACTATTTGATATATCTTGTATCAAACTTAGAAACTGTTAGAAAGTCCTTATGCATTTATCCTAGTTACTGAACATTGTTTCATCATGAGAACGAACCATAAAATAATTTTTGACAGTGTTGAACCGTCATCAATGTTTTTGATTTATCTCCTTGAACCTAGATCTTGGGATCTCCAGTCTTCTAGGTAGAGTTACCGCCACGATGACTTGCTTAGGCAATAGTCCCATACCTGTTGATGATTTCTGAACTCCCTCTCTAGTTAGGCCTTTTGTAAGTAGATCCAACACATTATCCTTTGACTTTACATAGTCAATTGTGATAATTCTACTAGATAATAGTTGTCTAACATAATGTTTCCAACATTTCCTGTTGCAGCTTGACTATCACAATGTATGCATATAGAGGCCATTGGTTTGGGCCAAAATGGAATATTTTCTAAGAAATTCTGGAATTGTTCAACTTCTTCTCCTTTCTTGTCTAAGGAAATGAATTCAGACTCCATTGTAGAGTGAGCTATATATGTTTATTTGGATGATTTCCAAGATATTGCTCTTCCACCAATTGTGAAAACGTATCTACTTGTGGATTTTGTTTTAGTTGACCCTGTAATCCAATTTGCATCACTATATCATTCAAGAACTGCTGGATATTTGTTGTAATGAAAAACATAATTATGAGTATCATCTAAGTATCCAAAAACTCTCTTTATTTCCAACCAATGATTTTGATTGGGATTACTTGTGCATCGAATATGTTTACTGATAGCACAAGTTAAGTCTAGTCGTGTACGATTCATGACATACATCAAATTTCCCAACACTCTGGCAGATGGAGGTTCACATCAATTGGGATCTTTGACCTTTTAAAATTCAAATACTTGAATTTTTCAAATACCTTTTGAATATAATGAGTTTGAGACAATGCTATGCCATTAGGAGTTTTGAGAATCTTAATTCCCAATATCACGTCAGCAACTCCTTGATCATTCATATCAAACTTACTAGTGAGCATACACTTAGTAGATTTTATATTGACAATGTCTTTGTTCATTATCATCATGTCATCCACATATAGGCGTATGATGACTTCCTGAATCAGAGTATCTTTAATGTAAACACATTTATCACATTCATTGATCTTAAATCCATTTGACAACATGGTTTGATCAAACTTTGCATGCCATTGTTTCGGTCCTTGTTTTAGTCTATAAAGTGAAGCAATAAGTTTGCTCACTTTCTTTTCTTAACCAGGAATTACAAAACCCTCAGGTTGTTCCATGTAAATTTCTTCCTCCAGCTCTCCATTTAAGAAGACAGTTTTCACATCCATTTGATAGATTTCAAAATTATATACTGCAGCTAGGGAAATTAACATCAAAATTGATGTAATCCTAGTCACTGGCAAGCATTATCAAAAATAATCAAGACCTTCTTTTTGTCTTAAGCCTTTGACAAAAAGTCTTGCTTTATATTTGTCAATAGTTCCATCATCTTTCATCTTCCTTTTAAATATCTATTTTGAACCCAAGGGTTTGTTCCCTGGAGGAAGATCAACCAACTCTCAAGTATGATTGCTTAGGATTGATTCAACCTCACTTTTGACACCCTCTTTCCAATAGATTGTCGCTAGACAACATTGCTTTCTTGAATGTTTGAGACTCACTTTCAAGAAGGAATGTTGCAAAATCAGATCCAAGTGAAGTGGCTTTTCTTTGAAGTTTACCACGCCTTGGACTCTCTTCATTGGTTTCATTCTCTTTTGGTTCTTCTTGGGGTTGTTTAGACCCCATACTAGAAGACTCAGGTCTAGTTTTATACGGATAGATATGTTAAAAAAATTCAGGATTATCTAATTCCATTACCGTATTATCATGAATATTTGGATGTTCAGACTTAAGAACCAAAAAGCTATATGCCTTACTGTTTGTTGCATATCCAATGAATACACAATCCACATTCTTAGGCCCTATTTTCACCCTCTTAGGTATAGGAACCTGGACTTTGGCTAGACAACCCCACACTTTAAAATATTTCAAGTTGAGTTTTCTACCTTTCCATTTCTCATATGGAATAACATGTGTCTTCGTGTGAGACACTCTATTGAGTATTCAATTTGCTGTAAGGATAGATTTCCCCTATAAGTTTGTGGTAAACCTGAACTTATAAGTAAGATATTCATCATTTCCTTTGAAGTTTGATTTTTCCTTTCTGCAATCCCATTAGATTGAGGAGTGTAAGGAGCAATATTTTGATGGATTATTCCATTTTCGAAATATATTTCTGACTCATATTCTCCGCCTCTGTCACTTTTGATCATTATGATTTTTCTATCCAACTGATTTTCAACTTTAGTTTTATATTGTCTAAACACATCTATTGCTTCATCCTTACCATTTAGCAAATAAACATAACAATATCTTGTACAATCGACAATAAAAGTTATGAAATACTTTTGCCCACCATGTATGGTGTTGACTTCTTGTCACAAATGTTTGTGTGAACTAGTTCTAAGGGATTTGAATCCCTTTCAAAAATTTTATAAGGATGCTTACCATACTTAGATTCAACGTAAACATGACATTTTGACTTATGACACTAAAATTTAGGCAAAACATTTAAGTTAATCAGTTTTCGCAAGGTTTTGTTATTAACGTGTCCCAATCATTCATGCCATAACATTTAGACTCAAGCAAGTAATAAGAAACATAAATTTTATTTATATCAACTGCAATTACATTGAGTTTGAAAAGACAATCACTGAGGTAACTGTAACAACCTGTTTAGTCGTTCGAGCAGTAGAATTATTTTTGATAAAAACTGACTGGGTCGACGGATCACGCGACGGACCATCATGGTCACGACGGACCGTGATGGACTCCGTCGTCCCATACTTGTGTAATTTCTTCTGCTGCTCTCCTCATTACCCTCGACGACAGGTAGGACAAACCGTCATAGGCACAACGGTTCGTCGAGGGTCTTCGTTCCAAAACACTTCAACTCTGAAATCTGGGTACTGGGATCGACTCTCTGAACATCACGATGGAACTGCAGGACGGACCGTCATAGATACGACGGACCGTCACAAGTTGCGTAACCTCACTACTGAATTTAACTCTCTGAAATTTGTGACGGACCTGCAGGACGGACCGTCGTAAATACGACGGACTGTCACAAGCTGCGTAACCCCGACTTGGTCAGATTTCCACTAAAATTTAAATGGGTGTTTTGTACTATTCATGATTATAATTATGAAATTAGTGGGGTAAGTTTAATAATTTATTTACTTGGGGGTTAAAGAAGATAATAGGGAAATAAATAGTGGGTTACTTTTATCATAATGGATTATATGATAATTAGGGTAAAAGAAAAAGAATCTGTAGAAGAAAAATAAAAAGAACAGAAAGGGGAACGAACGAGCGAGAGAGAGAGAACGAAGAGGACAACAAAGGCATTGGGAAGGTAGCTTGCTTGATCACGATTCTTCGGTGGAGGTAGGTTATGATTTATTTCTATGTGATAGATAAACTCTAAATAGCGATCGATATGAATTGGGTGGTATTGTAAAGTCTTCTGTGTGCTTGATTGTGTGTTGTATGTTTTGATTGTGTAATTGTGGTGGGTTAGAATGATGAGACTGTTGAATCTTAAATCCTCTCTATTAAGATGATGCCTTGACGTAAAGAAGACTTGATGAAATAAAATAATGAGATAAATGGATCGGAGTGTCACGTTCCGACATGGTAATATTGGATCGGAGTGTCACGTTTCGACATGGCATATGGGATCGGAGTGTCACGTTCCGACACGATAATAATAAGGAGAAGGAATCTTGAATTATGTTAATATACTCAAATTCGAAGAACCTAATTTTCAAATGAGTATGGTGTGGAGGCTTGAGTCCTCATAGGTGTGCTTGGTGTTGTTGCCAATGGTTCTTGTACTTGTTGATTGTCACCTGTTAAGTATTGTGGGTGATTTTATATTATTATTTAGTATATATTGCTTTCTATTTTGAGTTGGCTGATGATACCTACTCAGTACGTGTTCCTTGTACTGACCCCTACTTGTAAATTTCTTATTTATTATTTGTAGAGTGCAGCAAGCGTGCCATCAGCTTCGACTCGTCCTCAACTCTAGTCAGTCTCAAGCATATCAGATTTCAGGTTGAGCTATTATTCCTAGCTCGGACTGGATTCTCTCATTTACGTCTTGATGTCCTTAAAGTTCGGACATGGACCATCTTTTTACTTATTTTAGCTTCTTAAATACTCTTAGAGTTAGAAATTTGAGGATAGATGTTATTGATGTGATGAATTCCAGATTTTGGGAATAATAAGTATCAAACTTTAGAAGTTTATTTAATTGATTACGTTAATAAGTTTTGGATCTTCCGCATTAATTTTACTATTCATGATTGATATACTGGTAAATGTTGGGGTTTAGATTTGTTGGTTCGCTCACATAGGAGGATAAGTGTGGGTGTCACTCGCGGCTTGTTTTGGGTCGTGACAAACTTGGTATCAGAGCGTTAGGTTCGTTGGTCTCATCACACAAGAACGAGTCTAGAAGAGTCTTGAGGAACGGTAGGGGGACACCCTTAATTTTCTTGGAGAGGCTAAAGGACTGTAGGAAAACTCCATTCTTTCTTTCTTTCGTGCTATTACTTGGATCCAATTGGTATCTTGGTGATACAAATTGGTATCTGACATCCTCACTCTATTTCGCAGATGGTTAGAACTAGAGCAACAACTGTCCAACACCAACACCGGCAAGACAGGGTGCGTCTGAGCCAACCATTGGGGCTGTAGCTCGAGTAGGAGCAGTGGCAAGAGGCCATGGTAGAGGTCGCAAGAGGACTCCCTCTAGAGGTAGAGGAAAAACACCTGGTCCGACTAGTAATAGGGAGGTGACTCTTCCACCGACTGATGAGCTAGTAAAAGAGGGTGAGGATGGGGAAAATGAGCAGGTTCAAGACGAGGAATTACCACCCTAGCCTACCCCAGAGATAATTAATCAGGTTCTTACTTATCTTAGCGGGTTATCTGATCAGGGCCAGACACCTCCAGTGTTTTCTGCACCAGCACCTCAGGTTTCGGGAGTACAACATGCAGATGCTGTGGCTCCCCGCATGGATGCCTCATTAGAATTAAGCACTTTTCCTCGGTTGACTACAGGGTCTATAATGACGAGTGATCAACATGAACTTTTCACTAAATTCATGAAGTTGAAACCTCCAGTCTTCATGGGTGTTGAATCTGAGGATGCCTATGATTTTCTGGTTGATTGTCATGAGCTGCTACATAAGATGGACATAGTAGAACGATTCGGTGTTGAGTTTGTGACCTATCAGTTTTAGGGGAATGCCAAAATGTGGTGGCGGTCGTATGTTGAGTGTCAACTAGCACAGGCACCACCCATGACTTGGGCATCATTCTCTAGCTTGTTTATGGAGAAGTATATACCCCGGACTTTGAGGGACAAGAGGAGAGATGAGTTCCTAAGCCTAGAGCAAGGCAGGATGTCTGTTACTGCTTATGGTGCTAAATTTCGTGCACTATCCAGGTATGCCACCCAGTTTTGCTTCAGTCCACAAGAGAGGATTCGCCATTTTGTGAAAGGATTGAGGTCAGATTTGCAGATCCCAGCCTTACAGGTAGCTGCTGCAGCAAAATCCTTTCAAGAAGTGGTTGATTTCGTGATAGAGGTGGAGGGGGTGAAGCCTGACGACTTCACCTTGGCATCGACATCTAAGTTCCGTAAGGGAGGTGAGTTTAGTGGTTTTTACTCCAGAAGGCAGAGTTCAGGAGGTTACCTAGCCTGACCTTTTCAGTCTTCACTGCAGGCTGTAGGGGGTCCATCGCAGACCAGTCAGCATTTCTCTGAGTTTGGAGGTTATCACCAGACTTCATCATTCTCATAGAGACCTATGCTTGACTCCAAAAATTGTTATGGATGTGGAGATACTGGACATATTAGGAAATATTGTCCAAAACAGAGTTACAGACCCCCAATAGTTAGAGGTAGAGGTGGTCATGGGAGAGTCCGCCATTCTGGAGGATGTGGTTGCCAAGGTAATGGTGGTCACCAAATCAGCCGGGGTGGCGGGCAAGCTGGAGCTACTGTAGCGCAACATGGTATGGGCAACGGGCAGACAGGTGATAGGGCCCATTGTTATGCTTTCCCCGGGAGGTCTGAAGTAGAGACATCTGATGCTGTTATCACAGGTAATCTTTTGGTCTGTGATTGCATGACTTCTGTATTATTTGATCCTGGATCCACATTTTCATATGTATCTTCCTCCTTTGCTACTGATCTTGATTTATATTGTGATTTGCTTGACATGCCTATTCGTGTCTCTACTCCTGTGGGTGAGTCTGTGATAGTTGAGAAGGTGTATAGGTCTTGTCTTGTGACTTTTGTGGGGAGCAATACTCATGTAGATTTGATTATTCTAGAGATGGTTGATTTCGATGTAATTCTGGGTATGACTTGTCTTTCTCCAAATTTTGCAATCTTAGATTGTAATGCTAAAACTGTGACATTGGCCAAGCCTGGGACAGATCCGCTAGTGTGGGAGGGTGACTATATTTCCACTCCAGTTCATATCATCTCCTTTCTTCATGCTAAGAGAATGGTTAGTAAGGGTTGTTTAGCTTTCTTGGCACATCTTAGGGATGATACTTCCCAAGTACCTTCGATTGAGTCTGTCTCGATAGTCAATGAGTTTCTGGATGTGTTTCCTGCAGACCTTCCTGGTATGCCACCGGATAGGGATATTGATTTTTGTAAT